CTCCATCATCTCCTTCTCCATCTCCTTCATCTCCTCCTTCTCCATCTCCTCCTTCATCTCCTCCTTCATCTCCTTCTCCATCTCCTCTTTCATCTCCTCCTCTTTCATCTCCTCCTCCATCATCTCCTTCTCCATCTCCTCCATCTCCTCCTTTATCTCCTCCTTCATCTCCTTCTCCATCTCCTCCTTCATCGCCTCCTTTATCTCCTCTTTCATCTCCTTCTCCATCTCCTCCTTCATCTCGCCAGATGTTTAAACTAGTATAAAGTATTTAATGTCTCCAGATGTTTAAAGTAGTATAAGGTATTTAATGTCTCCAGATGTTTAAAGTAGTATAAAGTATTTAATGTATCCAGATGTTTAAAGTAGTATAAAGTATTTAATGTCTCCAGATGTTTAAAGTAGTATAAAGTATTTAATGTATCCAGATGTTTAAAGTAGTATAAAGTATTTAATGTCTCCAGATGTTTAAAGTAATATACAGTATTTTGTGTTTCCAGATGTTTAAAGTAGTATAAAGTCGTTAATGTCTCCAGATGTTTAAAGTAATATACAGTATTTTGTGTTTCCAGATGTTTAAAGTAGTATAAAGTCTTTAATGTCTCCAGATGTTTAGAATAGTATAAAGTCTTTAATGTCTCCAGATGGTTAGAGTAGTATAGTCTTTAATGTATCCAGATGTTTAGAGTAGTATAAATTCTTTAATGTATCCAGATGTTTAGAGTAGTACAAATTCTTTAATGTCTCCACATGTTTAGAGTAGTATAGAGTCTTTAATATCTCCAGATGTTTAAAGTGGTATTTAATGTATCTAGATGTTTAAAGTAGTATAGTCTTTAATGTCTCCAGATGTTTAAAGTAATATACAGTCTTTGTGTTTCCAGATGTTTAAAGTAGTATAAAGTAATTAATGTATCCAGATGTTTAAAGTAGTATTTAATGTCTCCAGATGTTTAAAGTAATATACAGTCTCTTGTGTTTCCAGATGTTTAAAGTAGTATAAAGTCTTTAATGTCTCCAGATGTTTAGAATAGTATAAAGTCTTTAATGTCTCCAGATGGTAAGAGTAGTATAAAGTCTTTAGTGTCTCCAGATGTTTAAAGTAGTAGAAAATGGTTAATGTTTCCAGATGTTTAAAGTAGTATAAAGTAGTTAATGTCTCCAGATGTTTAAAGTAGTATAAAGTAGTTAATGTCTCCAGATGTTTAAAGTAGTATAACGTCTTTAATGTCTCCAGATGTTTAAAGTAATAGAAAGTCTTTAATCTCTCCAGATGTTTAAAGTAGTATAAAGTCTTTAATGTCTCCAGATGTTTAAAGTAATATACAGTCTTTCGTGTTTCCAGATGTTTAAAGTAGTATTAATGTAATTGTGGGTAATGTAGACGTCGTTCATCATCAATATGAGGAGCCTTTTCGTGACCTACTCAGGAGGTCAAAGGTCCCGATTGATCCGCTGGTGAGACAGGAAACATTTGATCAGATCCTTAAATTATTATTTTACCATCATAGTTCTTAATTGTGCCCCGCAGTAGTACACATAGTCTGAGGTAGTTGTACTTTCCACGAGTATATCTCTTTTCTGCTACTTTTACTTCGCTGTACTTTGTGTACTTCTCCTAAATAGGATGCCGGTGAAAGTACCCAGACAATATTAAAGTAGTTTATAGCTGCTCACATGTTTGTGTATCAGCATACAGAGTAACAAATACTAGAATAAATAATAAATAGCATAATAGATAATATAATAAACAATATAATAAATTATAAATGACATGTTATAAATTATACATTTTACAATAAATAATAACCATTCTGCTAAACATCAAGCTCGTTTTTACTTTTCACACTTTCAGTGATTTAAAGATCATTTTTTGGTGATCCAGGACGTTTACATTTTTAGTATCCTCTTCTTTATTTATTTATTTATTCATGTATTTGTCTCTCTACTAGTAACAGAATACTACTTGTGTATTTTTATTGTCAGAAAGTGAAGATAATTTGTATTTATGTGACAAAATAATTTCATTTATTATGTTCTGAATAAGTTACTTTTAATTACAAAAATACAGATAGATATTTATTTATATTTCTTAAAGGTTTTATTGTGGAGTGAAGTCAACAAACATAACTATTGGATTATAATCTCTGTAAAATTACAGTGAGATTAGTTTATAATAAGTTTCTTATTTAATAATCATTATCATAATAATGACAATTATGATAATAATTATGATAATATTAATACATAATGATAATAAAGAAATAATGCTGCTACTACAACTATTAATAATGATAATAATAATATAAAGTCATTTAAATCCAGATTGAAGACTTTTCTGTTTGCTGCCTTTAATTGAACCACATTCAAGGATATTAATACATTTCTGCATTTCTGCATTTTACTACTGTATTTAATTTCTTACACCGCTTTTTAATGTTTGAATGAATGTTCTTAATGTTTGAATGAATGTTTTTAATGTTTGAATGAATGTTGTTAATGTTTGAATGAATGTTTTTAATGTTTGAATGAATGTTGTTAATGTTTTAATGAATGTTGTTAATGTTTGAATGAATGTTTTTAATGTTTGAATGAATGTTCTTAATGTTTGAATGAATGTTCTTAATGTTTGAATGAATGTTTTTAATGTTTGAATGAATGTTCTTAATGTTTGAATGAATGTTTTTAATGTTTGAATGAATGTTTTTAATGTTTGAATGAATGTTCTTAATGTTTGAATGAATGTTCGTAATGTTTGAATGAATGTTGTTAATGTTTGAATGAATGTTGTTAATGTTTGAATGAATGTTCTTAATGTTTGAATGAATGTTTTTAATGTTTAAATGAATGTTTGAAATGAATGTTGAAATGTGCTATAAATAAACTAGCCTTGCCTAATATATATAATGATAATAATAATATATAATGATAATAATAATATATAATGATAATAACAGTAGTAATACAACAACTACTACTACTGCCAATAATAATAACAATAATAATGATGATAATGATAATAATCTCCTTATAGAGAATATTTCTTGTTAGCAGCTGATCTGATTTTAATATTTTGAATAAAACTTGAACCTGATTCCTCTTTGTTGTTTCATAAACTAAATAATAACAAACGTGCAGCATTAATATGTTCAAAGGTCAGATAAATGAAGTTATCAGTGACTGAACATGGCGGCAGGAAGCCGTGGAGACCTTTAACATATTTCCCATCAGCCCCGCTTCCTCGCTTACAGTCGTCTCTGATTGAACGCTGCCGTCGTGTGATTGGCTCTTTGTTGGGGAGCTTATCAGTCGAGACCAGACAACTTCTCTGTCGGTGTGTTCCCATGATGCTTAGCGGCAGACATATAGAAACACATGACCTGATGCATCTATGTCAGACCCTGCAGGACTCTGATAGACCCTGTTAGACCACAACAATAACATCCTGTCAGACCCTTTAGAAACCTGTTTGGACTTTGTTTAGACCCTCATAGACCTTGTTAGATAATTGTAAACCTTAGTTAGACCCTGTGGGACCCAGTTGGACCTTATTGGACCCTATTAGCTGTCAGAGCCATCCAATCAGAGAGCTTCACATCCTCAAGGCTAGCTGTTTCCAGTCATTATGCTAAGCTAAGCTAACTCACAGAAACAGGATCTTCTACATTTTGAACCATTCCTGTAACCTCACACACACACACACACACACACACACACACACACACACACACAGCTGGACTACAGTTCCCATCATGCCTCAGGTCCTGGACTTGGAGGGAGAGGAATATTTAGTTTAGCATCAACCTGATCTCAGATCAGAAACATTGTTCAGGAGAATCATAATCATAATCATAACCACCCAATGAGTGCTAAAGTGAATTTAACAAATTATGAACTTCCTGATAGTTAATGGTACAATTTTAATTAATATTAATTTCCCTCCTACTGTTTAATAATAATAACATTAATGATGATAATAATTATACAAAATAATATAAATAATTACACTAATAATAATTATTATTATGAATATTAATGAGTATGTATCCCTGACAGCAATCGCACTGAATTAGATATTTTAATTATTGCTCATGTTTTTAATGACTTTAGTTTAATAAACCTCAACATGTCCACATTGTTCATCCAGAAAAACCTCAGTCAGCATATTTGATATTATCCTGTTTGTCCTTCTGAGTCTCTGCAGCCAGAGTGACGCAGGGTGAGGGGGGGGCACACAATGGGCCTTTCTCAATACCCAAGTTCACAAGTCCAGAGAACGCAGTACGGACAATTGGAACAGCAGTTTACTGCCCATTATTGACTGCAGTGTGATGCAGAAAGAGAGGGATGCTAGCACATGTTAACCATGCTAGCTACGATGCTAAATATCATCAGAGAGTTATTGATGGAGGCTGAAGAATGAAGTCACATTCAGAGTTTTAAATGTTTTTAAGAGAAGCAGCCATGTTGTTGTTTGTGTTAAACAGTTTGAGTCGGTGGAGGCGGAGCTTCTTTTTCTGGAGCATGTTAGCTGCTAACGAGAGGAAAGGCGGTTAACCTGTTAGCATGCTAGCTTGTGTTTCATATGAGTTGTAATGGAGATGAGATGCTAACGTTAGCCTGCTTCTTTAAAAGCTTTCCTCATCTGCATTTGTGTGTCCTTACCTGTCTCACCTCTTTCTATGCAGTCACACACCTGTCTGTCTCCACCTGTCTGTCTCTGTTGTTGTTGAGATCAGATCTTTTGTTCCTTTGTCTGCTGTTTGAAACATTGAAGAGCTTTTTACTGTCTTCCATTAACATTTCAGTTAAACACACACACACACACACACACACACACACACACATCAACAGCAATAGAAATCCAATCAGTGTAACTGAGAACTGTTTACTTTCATTGAGCCGTCGCTTTGGTCTGTTTCACCTGTCTCTCTCTCTCTCTCTCTCTCTCTCTCTCTCTCTCTCTCTCTCTCTCTCTCTCTCTCTCTCTCTCTCTCTCTCTGTCTGTCTGTCTGTCTGTCTGTCTGTCTGTCTGTCTGTCTGTCAAACTGAATGAAAGTGATGACTCAGCGTTACATGACATAATGTGTCTCCTATATCTCTTCAGGCTAAGGACAGCGATGATGATGAAGAGGTGGTGCAGGTGGACCGGGACCACTTCATGGATGAGTTCTTCGAACAGGTGAGACACGAGAAACCCACAAAACCACACGAAAATACGTGAAAATACGTGAAGTTTGGAAGAAAACACAAAGCTAAAACGGAATTTAGGAAACATTTTAAGTCAAAAGAAAAGAGCTTTTACTTTCTCTGTCAGCAGTTTGATGACTCCGGGTATCGTTCTTTAACAAATCGGTTTGTTCTGAAGTCGTTCTGGAGAATCTGAAGCAGGAAGTTTTTCTAAATCTGATTCTCTGTAATCTGATTGAAGATCTGAAGACTGACTGACTTCCTGTGAACTGATCCCAGATCTGAAGATCTGACACTTTGTTCTCTTCTCAAAATGTCTTGTGTGCTTCATTGACAATAAAACTCTGGGTTTAATCAGATATTTAAGACTAATAAATCCATCTCATGTTCATTTAAGTTGTTTAAATTACACAAAGCATCAAACTCAAAATGCTGAATTTATATTTTCCTTTTTCAGCTGTTCTCACACCTACATTATGGGGACAGTAACTTGTTTAAAAACAGACATTAGGAGGACAGTAACGTGTTCACAAACAAACGTTATG